CACACATAACCCCTGTGGGTGAACTAGCCTCTTACCCACAGGAGGACGCACACATTGGATGCCTGCTTCAGAAGATGCCCCTAGCGGTGCACAGGGCTCTGAGCTTCCGTCTGTCTCTAAACGAGGGACCAGAGCCCTGTGCCCTCCACTCCCACCCCGCTGTGGCCCTTGGAGTCGGGAGAAAGGAGCCCATTTGTTAACTTACTCACCTAGCATCCCCGTTTGGAGGGTGATTGGTGCCACACCTGCGCACTCACTGGGCAGGAGGTAGGCAGGGTGCCTGGTGGTCCTCTGAATGGGCACCTCTCCCCACAGGTACATACTGCCAGCAGCGTGAGGTGGAGGCCATCACAGAGGGAGTGGAGGAGGACGAGGGCTGCTGCTGCTGTGAGCCTGGCCACCTGCCACGGGTCCTGTCCTTCAATGCTGCCTTCGGGCAGCGCTGGCTGGCCTGGGAGGTGACGGCCAGCAAGTACGTACTGGAGGGCTACAGCATCAGCGACAACAACGCAGCCTCCATGCTGCAGGTCTTCGACCTCCGCAAGATCCTCATCACCTACTATGTCAAGGTACAGCAGCGGGGGCTGCACGGCGGAGTCCTGCTCACTGGCCGGGAGCACCCCGAGTGCCAGCTTCCGGATTGGTGGGAGCCTGTTTTGCCCAAGGGAAGCAGAGGCCTCCCGAGTGCGTGCAGGCTGGGTGCCAGTCTCAGCATCCTCCCTCAGAAGGCTCGCCTGGGGCAGTAGCATTGAGGGCAGGTGGGCAGCGCTTACTGTGCCAGGCCAGCCCGCCCCGCATTCCCAAGGTTTTCTTTTTTGGTTCTTGGAGGCTGTGGTGGGCCCAGACTATGGAGATGCCCTCTAGGCAAAAGGTCAGTCAGGAACCAGTCTGCCTGGAGCCCAAAGTGACCCCCTAGCCGTCCTGCCCTACTCACCATTAGGCTCCTGGTACCCCTTCCTCTTGTTAAGGGGGCAGCCCAGCCCTCTCCAGACTGTCCAACCTCCTTCCCACAGCCAGTGATATGGGGCTGCTCCATTCCAGCTGCCATGTACTGGGAGCTGATGAGGCCCCACTCAGCGTGGCTTCCAAAAGCTCCTCTCCATGTGCCCAAACGCTGCTTAGACACCAGCAGTCTCCTAAGGGGTCCGGTAGTCCCTGACTTTGGGCACAGGATGGCTTTTTTCTGAGGGTAGGTCCTGTGACTGTCACACTTCAGCTGCCTGAAGAGACCTGTGCGCCGGCCCCACTGGCCTGTAGGCAGCCCCACTAACCCAGCCTGACGTTCCCAGGCTTCTGAGATCTGGACCCCATGGCATCATGAGAGTAAAGGTCCTGGGATCCCGTCGCACCTCCGTCAGCCCTGCTGTGTAAATTTAGGCAGGCCTGTGGTTTGTCCGAGCCTCAGTTTCCCTCACAAATGGGGCACCTTCCGAAGCAAGCGTTTGCCACAGTGCAGGACCCTCCCAGGGACGCTCTGTAAGGAGGGTGCTTGCTTTCCGCCTTCTCGAGCTCCTCCAGGGCCCAGGGGAGAGGAGCAGATTTGCCTGTGTGGCTTCCGGAAGCCGAGGTGGGACATGGATGAGCGTCCTAGGAAGCAGGCCCCGCTCAGTGTCGGGGAGAAGCCCCTTTACCCCGACACGCTCTCCTGCAGCAGTGCCCGGCCAGGGCTAAGGTCCTGCCCCCCGCACTGGCCCAGCCCTGACGCCTGCCGTCTCCTCTCAGAGCATCATCTACTATGTGAGCCGCTCGCCAAAGCTGGAGGCGTGGCTGGGCCATGAGGGCATCTCGGCAGCCCTGCGGCCTGTGCGGGCGCCCGGCTATGCTGACTCGGACCCCACCTTCTCCCTGAGCGTGGATGAGGACTATGACCTGCGCCTCTCCGGCCTCTCGCTGCCCTCCTTCTGCGCCGTGCACCTTGAGTGGATCCAGTACTGCGCCTCCCGGCGCAGCCAGGTCTGGACTGCCTTCTCCTCCCCTGGGTGGCTTCCTCTCACCCTCAGTCTCCCTTGGCCTGGGTCCCAGCCCCAACCCCAACCCAAGTTCCCTGTCCCAGGTCTGAGCTGGGCTCTGGGGATGGGGGTCCTTGTGCCACAGCCCGTGGATCAGGATTGGAACTCGCCGCTGGTCACTCTGTGTTTTGGCCTCTGTGTGCTGGGCCGCCGGGCCCTGGGGACAGCCTCTCATAGCATGTCTGCCAGGTGAGTGCCCGCAGGTCCAGCGGGGCCTGTCACTCTCCCCTCCACCCCATCCATGAAGAGCTCCAGGCCAGAGGCCACCAGGAGTCACCTCTGGTCTTCCTTCGGTGTGGCTCTCTTGTGAGCAAGGCACCCCATAGTCGTGACCTTGTCTGTTCCTCACCACCCTGTGAGGGACCTGGGCAGAAACTGACCTCCTTGTCCAGATGGGGAAACTGAGGCCCAGCATGAAGACTGGCCTCGGTGTAGCCCGCTGCGTGTGGAGCCAGCGCTAAGAAACCTTGGCACTCACCTCCCGGCTCCTTTTCCAGCCTGGAGCCCTTCCTCTACGGCCTGCACGCCCTGTTCAAGGGGGACTTCCGCATCACCTCCCCGAGAGACGAGTGGGTCTTTGCCGACATGGACCTGCTTCACCGCGTGGTGGCACCCGGGGTTCGCATGGCCCTCAAGCTTCACCAGGTGGGGAGAGGCGTGCCCAGGCAGAGTGGGCAGGTGGGGGTGAAGCCCCTCAGGGCAGGGCCCCTGACCCCAGCCCTCCGGACCTCCCACAGGACCACTTCACGTCCCCAGATGAGTATGAGGAGCCAGCCGCCCTGTATGATGCCATCGCAGCCAATGAGGAGCGGCTGGTCATCTCGCATGAGGGCGACCCGGCCTGGCGCAGCGCCATCCTCAGCAACACGCCCTCGCTGCTGGCGCTGCGCCACGTCCTGGACGACGCCTCTGACGAGTACAAGATCATCATGCTCAACCGGCGCCACCTCAGCTTCCGAGTCATCAAGGTGGGGCTAGCCCACCCCCACGACCCGGCCCCTGTCCTGCTGCAGCCCCCTGACCCTTGCATGTGGCTTCCCACAGGTGAACCGAGAGTGTGTGCGCGGCCTGTGGGCTGGGCAGCAGCAGGAGCTGGTGTTCCTGCGCAACCGCAACCCGGAGCGTGGCAGTATCCAGAACGCCAAGCAGGCGCTCCGCAACATGATCAATTCCTCCTGCGACCAACCACTCGGCTACCCCATCTATGTGTCGCCCCTCACCACCTCGCTGGCTGGCAGCCACCCCCAGCTGCGGGCGCTGTGGGGTGGCCCCATCAGCCTGGGCGCCATTGCCCGCTGGCTTCTGCACAGCTGGGAAAGGTGAGCCGTCACCGCCACCCCAACCTGGGAGGCTGGGTTCCTGGGGCAGGAAGCTGAGGCTCAGGGAGATGAAGCCACTTCCTCCAGGGTCTCGGGGAGGAAGTGCTGGAGCCAGGATGGAGCCGAGAGCTGACCCCTTCCCAGGGCTGACTCGGCTCCACCCCACCCCACAGCTGAAGGTGGCCTTTAGCCTTAAGAGCCATTGGGAATGCCTTCCTGAAAAGATCCTGTAAAGCAGATGGCAAAATCTCTTAGAGACAGCACCCCAGGGCTCAGGAATGTTAGGAGACTTGTCCTGAACTGAGAACTTCCGTTTGTGAGGTCTCTGGCCTTTCCACCAACTTCTTCACCTCCCCCCCTCCAGGCTGCATAAGGGCTGTGGTGCCGGCTGCAATAGTGGCGGAAACGTAGACGACTCAGACTGTGGTGGAGGCGGTGGCTTGACCTCCCTCAGCAATAACCCCCCCTTGGCACACCCCACACCTGAGAACACAGCAGGTGAGCCAGCGAGGCCAGGCTGAACCAGTAGGTGAGGGGACAGCCTAGCTGAGTCTCTGCCCTCTTATCTGTCTTCCACAGGCAGTGGCGACCAACTCCTCCCACCAGGTGCTGGCTGGGGCCCGAGGCCCTCCCTTAGCAGTTCTGGTGATGGCCGCCCCCCTTCTCTGCTGCATTGGCCACCCCCTCGGCTCCCTGGACAGCCCCCCGCTTCACCTGCCCCCACTGAGGGTCCCCGGCCCTCAAGGCCCCCTGGCCCTGGTCTCCTCTATTCTGAAGGTCCCAGTGGGAAGTGGAGCTTGGGGGGTCGAAAGGGGCTAGGGGGATCCGAGGGGGAGCCAGCCTCAGGGAGCCCCAAAGAAGGCACCCCCAAATCTCAGGTAAGGATCCAGTGGGAGGGGTGGGTTCTGGGCAGCTCAGGTCTTCTTCTACCAACCTATCTCCCCTCCCCCAGGCGCCCCTAGACCTCAGCTTCAGCCTGGATATCAGCACCGATGCCTCACCCCCCAGAGCAGCCCAGGACATTCCTTGCTTGGACAGCAGTGCTCCGGAGAGTGGCACACCCACGGGGGCCCCGGGTGACTGGCCTGCCCCCTCTGAGGAGCGTGAGAGCCCAGCTGCCCAGCCCCTGCTGGACCATCAATACTGAATGCCCCACTCTTCTCTGGATCCCAGCCCAGGATTCAGTAACTTGGACCATGGCCTCTGGCCCTCTCTGCTGGACCACAGGACTGAATGGTTTTGGCTTCCGTCCACATCTGAACCCTGACCTCTGGTTGCCTTAGCCAGAGCACCAGAACTAAGTGGCCCAGAACTCCTACCTTGACCCCTGATCTTTCATCCCTAGTCCAGGGCCTGGACTCCCCGAACTGAGGCAGGCAGCCTCCCAGCCAGGCCCCAAGAGCCAAACCCATGGGCTGGTCCCGCTTCACGCCTGTGGCCAGGACTGTCGGCCTCTGGGCCTGCACTGCCTGCAGGGGCAGCCCCGTGGCCCGGACCTGGGGCTGAAATGTGGGAAGGGTGGTTTCTTTTTCTTTTTTTCTTTTTTTTTTTTCTTCCGTGCTTCGGAGACACCAGAATTAATAACACTATTTTTGATTTTGGTTGGTGGTTTCTGCTTCTCTCTGGGAATGTTTGGGTGGAAGGTGGAGTTGCCAGGTCAGAGTGAGTGAGCATGGAGAGGAGTATAAAGGATGGGGGAGAAGTTCAGAAGACCAAGGTGGGGTTCAAGTAGGCCTGGGTCCCCTTCCTTACAAGCCTATTCCCTGTTCAAGCCTTGATCTAAAATCCCTTTTGTTCATTTCTTCTCACCTGTGTAACATTTGGAGCCTTCCAGCTACCGTGGCTGGCTCCTACAGTGATCAGCCCTGATAATTGGCCTTATTTGGCCAAGACCTTCCTCTGAGCTTAATTTCTCCAGCTGTAAGGAAGATGACACCTGTCTGCGGTGTTTTAAGGACAAATGAGTGTGCGTAGAGCAGGACCAGTGCTCAGCAAGTGCTCAGACCGCAGTGGTCTCTGTTCCTCGCACCTGGTGGAGCTGGACACTGGGTATCCTGCTCTGTTCTCCCCGTTGGTCTGAGGGGCAGGTCCCCTTGTTTGTGCGGCTTAGCCTGGCGCTGGAGAACCGGACAGCTTGCTGGGCTGGGCCGGGCCTAGCTCTGGCCAGCGCTTCCCTCCCAGGCCGC